CTAATTCTTTCTTAGTATCTCTTGAGTTGATCGTGTGGTCTTTTGTCTTCCTTTTTTGTTGAGCCAGTGAGTCACATTGATTGATTTGTGTATGTTGAACCCACCTTGCATCCCTGGGATGAAGCCTGCTTGATCACGCTGGATGAGTCTCCTGATATGTTGCTTTATGCAGTTTCTAGGACTTTGTTTGGGATCTTCATATCTGTTCTTCAGAGATATTTGCCTATAATTTTCTTTTTTTGTGTGCTGAATTTGTTTGGTTTTGGGAACAGGATAATACCGGTCTCATAGAATGTGTTGGGGAATTTTCCTCCCTGATGCTTTGAAGAGATTGACTAGGGGAGGTATTAGATATTCTTATATGGTTTGGTAGAATTCATTGAAGAAGCCATGTACTGGGATTTTATTTGTAGGGAGACTTATTGCTCTTTTAATTTCAGTGCTTGTGATTGTACTGTTTAAGCTCTCTGGTTCATCCTGGTTCAATCTTGGGAGGTTGTATGAGTCTAATAATTTGTCCTTCTAAGTTGTCTGGTTTTTAATAATTTGTAATAGGTTCTTATGATACCATATATTTTTGCCATGTTTGTTGTAATTTTTTCCTGTCATTTCTGATTCTATTAATTTGGGTTTTCTTTCTTCTTAAGCCTATCTAGTGGCTTGTCATCTATGTTTATTTTTTCAAAGAACCATCTCTTGGTTCACTGATCTTTTGGACTGTCCTTTTGTTTACTATTTCATTTGTTTCTGCACTAGTTTTTATTATTTCTTTCCTTCTACTGGTTTTCTACTGGTTTTTGGATTCTTTTTTCTGATTCCTTCAGCTGCAGAGTTAGATTGTTAATTTGAGATTTTTCTTTCTTTTTTTTCCTGCGAGCCTCTGTTTCTATAAACTTACACATAGCACTGCTTTTAAGAGTATCCCGTAGGGTCTGCTCACTTGTCTCCATTTCCATTAGTCTCTGAATACTTCTTGATCTCCTTTGATTTCTCTAATGACCCAAGAGGTGTTCGGAAGCATTTTGCTTAGTCTCCAGATGATTTAGTTGCTGTTTTTTAATGATATATTTATTTATGCGTACAAGAGCTGGGGTACAGGCCAGAGATGCGGGAGGTGAGAGGATTCACCAGAGACAGAGTGGGGAACAGAACAGGCAGACTGAAAACACACTGCTGAGGGGAGCAATGGGTGAGACAGGAGAGGTCTGCTTTGTCATGTGGGTTGCTTTCTGGCTGGCTGGGGATCGAACTCGTGTTGTCTGCAGCACAGATTGCTTCGTAGTGTGGTGCTTAACCCCTTGTGCCACCAGGGAGGCCCTAGTTTGTTTCTTTTTGTGGTTAATATCTAGGTTTATATAGCATTGTGGTCTGTGAAAATGCTCGAGGTAATTTGTTTTCCTATATTTTCAGACATGTTTTATGTCCTAGTGTATGATCTATTCTGGAGACTGTTCTGTGTGCACTAGAGAACAAAGTATAATCATTTCTTTTGGGACAAAAACTTATAAATGTCCAATAAATGCATCATGTAAGGCCTTTATTTCTTGTTAATATTCTGTTGGGGGACCTTCATGCAATGGTGTGTCGAGGTCTCCAACAATAATTGTATTATTGTCAACGTTTTAGATCTGTTAGTAGTTGCTTTTTATGTAACTAGATTCTCCTGTATTTTGTTCTTAAAGATATTAATAACAGTTATATCATCTTGGTTAATTGTTGATCATTATATAATGTCTGTCTTTGTCTCTGATTACGTTTTTCATTTGAAAGTCTAGTTTATCTGATATGAGAATACCAGTTCCTCTTTTTTTTCTTTGAATTATTAGCATATATTTCCTTACCCTAACCTTTTGTTTTTAGTTTGTTTCATCTTTTGGTTTTAAATAGGTCTCTTGAAAACTAAATATCAGTGGCTAATCATTTCACACCACATTATTAGGCATTGTCTTTTATTTATTTATTTTAAAGATTTCTTTATTTATGCATACAAGAACTGGTGTACAGGCCAGAGGGGGGTGAGGGGGGTGAGAGGATTCACCAGAGACAGAGTGTGGAACAGAACAGGCAGATTGACTGAAATACACTGCTGAGGGAAGCAGCGGGTGAGCCAGGAGAGGTCTGCTGCGCCATGTGGGTTGCTCCCTGGCTGAGGATCGAACTCATGCTGCAATGGTTGTGGATTGCTTCATAGGTTGCATCTTAACCCCTTGTGCCACCAGGGAGGCCCAACTAAAATAATTTTTACAGTTATTTTTGGTTGAGATGGTCATCCCAATTTGTATTTCATCATGTCGTGGGTAGAATCTCAACAACTATTTTAAAACTTAACATAGTAGAAAGAAGGGTTTTTAAAGTTTGTCAGCCCTGATACTCATCCACGTTTTGCCATTTATATCCTTGTTACCTTAAGCAGCTTATTTAATATCTGAGCCCTAGTGTCCTTGTATGAAAAACTTAAATGAAATCATGAAGAATGTAAAGTTAAAACAAGACGGAACAAATGTTCTCCTTTCCTCTTCAACAGAAAATGAAGTTCTCAAGGTATGGAGACATGAGCTCCTAACCTAGTGATCCTTTTGTCAATAACAACTATGAATTTTCAACAAAGTAAAAGAAACAATGTGAAATCGCTGGAAACTGAACAAATGCAAACAGAATTTAGGAAAAAAGTAAAAACTTGGGGGCCTCCCGGTGGTGCAGCGGTTGAGTGCTGGGTTGCAAAGCTGCCCGTAGCTTCTGCAATGCCGGTTCGATCCCCGGCCACTGGTTGAGAGTCCCACATGGCGCGCAGACCTTTCCTGCCGCCCGCTTCTCCCCTCAGCAGTGTACTTCGTCAGTCTGCCTGCTCTGCTCCCTGCTCTGCCTCTGGTGAATTCTCTCACCCTCCCACGCTTCTGACTGTACCCCGTGCTTGTATAAATAAATAAAAATAAAATCTTTAAAAAAAAAAAGTAAAAACTTGGAGCAAGTGACCAACACAGAGTCCATTAACACAGAGTCCACTAACGGCAACGCTGATAGAAAAACCAGTCTTCTTGTAGCTAGAGGAGCTAGGTCTATTTATAAAGGGGGGGGGAACCCCAAAAGGAAAAATAGAGAGATTTGTGTGTCAACTCAGCACATCTCTTAAGTCCTCAACCAGTCCAGTCTGTCATATAAGAAACCTGGAAATTGTCACTCCATCTTCACGAAAAGAAAAAAGCTGAACAAACTGAAAATGAGTAATGTGTAGAACTGGTCACAGGGAAAGCCATTATCACCCAATTTGGAGAGACAAGCAAATATAGCAAATTAAACCTTGTCTTGAACATAAGCTTAGGACCAGCTCCTGCCACTGGGGCCAGGACCAGTGTAGAGTAAATTTTAGACTGTGTGTTCTAGAGAGCCAGTTTGGACAAGCTTGAGAATTATAAACCATAGGGAAGTCTAATCTCAAGGGATCCCTAGGACTTTCATAAATTGCATCGCTAGGAATTCCCACTAGGATCTCATGGTAACAGTCAAAAAAAATCTCCTTACACTTTGGTCAGGGTAAAAGGAAAAGCAGCCATTTTTAAATATATCCATAGCATATTTGAAATATCTGTCCTCAAGGAATATTTACTAGAGCCTAACTACCTTGAGTTTTAACAGGCCTTCATTGAGCTGATGTAAGAAATATACCATGCTCCAATTCACTCAGGCCTTTCAGGCTCACACACATGGGTGAAAACTGAGAGGCACTTTGCTAAAGTCACAGCTCAGGGCCTCAAGTTCTCTAAAAGACTGACCTTTGATCATGGGATGATACAATGCATGCTTTCCTTTCCCCCACACATACTGGTCGTATTTAAAGCTGGGAGGGAAATAAATTCATACTAAAACTATATCAGATGATAGTTTTGAAGAAAAAATCACCATGGACAAAAGAGATATTTAATTATGCTAGAATCAATTCATCAGGAAGCACCCTAAAAAAATGTGTGTCTATTAAGAGAGCACCAAAATACCTGAAGCAACAATTTTAGGAATCAATTCTACCACAGAAGACATTTTACACCCCTTTGACAAATTGACTTCTGTGTTAGCTAAACAGAAAAATCAGCGGAGATGGAATTGATATTCACTGTCAACTACCTGAATCTAATTGATATTTATAGAACTCTACACCCTACATCTGCTGAATACGAATTTTATCCGAAGTGCATATTGAACATTTACCAGGATAGACCTGGTTCAGAAATAAGTTTCAATGAATCTGAAAGGGCTGAAGTCATATAAAGTATATACTCTATCCAAGGTGGAATTATATTTGAAATGAATAACAGTAAGATATTAAGGGAAAGCAAATATATTTGGTACTTAAACAGTGCGTTTCTGACTAATCTATGGGTGAGAGAGGAAATCAAGGAAGTTAGAAAATATTTTGAACTAAGTGGTAATAAATTCAGAATACATCAAAATTTGTAACAATGCAGCTACAATAATGTTCACAGGGAAATTTATAGGTTTGAATGCTTAAATCTAGAAAGGTCTAAAATCAGTGACCTACATCTCACCGCAAGAAGTTTGAAACTGAAAGAATTTTGTATATAAGTACAAAGTAAGCTGAAGAAAGGAAATAATATAGGAGTAAAATTAACAAATGGAAATTAGTCTAGCAGTAGAGAACTTAACAAAGCCAAACGGTTTTCTTGATTAACAGTATTGGTCAACCTTTGTTAGATTAAGAAGAGAGAGCACAAATAGGAATGAGGAGGGGTTATCTCTACACATCTCTTCTGTTATACTGTTTATTAAATAATTATTTCACAAAATCATCATTATTTTTGCAAGTCAAAGCCATATTTTTTACTTTAAAAATGTTTTTAAATTTACATGTAGTTCAGTGATAGGCCATAAATAACACATTTTACATTTTCTGTGAATTGCCATCTTTTCATTTCTCTGACTATATATGCTGTTTGATAGGAAAATCATTTCTACCTTATAACAATACTATGTATCTTAATTTTTCCTAGATTGAAGGATTCTCATTAAATAAGCTGGGGAGCTTCACTCTTAAAGACATTCAGAAAGATGCTGTGGTCTGGGAATACTCTGATAATGCTACAGGAAATGCAGACAAAGCAAAAGAAGAGGCACCTAAAGAAACAGCCACCAAAAGGGGACAGGTCTGTTTGCTTTCGTTTCTAATTTTACCTTGTATTTTTAATTCAGTTGTTAATGGTGGAGTTTGACTTAATCAGTCCTCTCATCTTCCTACAACTATCTTAACTGCTTCATGACCGTTTCATTTCCTGGTCTAGTCCTTTTAATAATCGTGTAGTGAGAAAAGGTAAAACTAGATCATTACCTCCACATCATCTGTGTGCAAGGTCCTGTAAAAGATACTGAGGATTCCTAGATAGATCCCTGTCCTCTAAGCGCTTACATCTTTTACTTTTAAATAAATGAAAAGTTGAATTATTAAAATAAGTCATTAAGTTGATGAGCTAACCTGCTTGTGCTCATCCACATCCTAGGGATAGGGCAAGGGATTTCATGCACAGGAAAAAAATTGTATTAGAGTTTTAAAAAAAAAAATCTGAGCAATTTAATTATACTAGTAATAAAAATAGGATTCTTCTCCCAGATTAATAAATGGTTCCCTGACCCTAGGGAGGTACTATCCCTATGACAGTACTATCCTTCTGAGAACAGCCTTGTAATCCTAGCTTTCACAAAGTCATGTGACTCTTCTAGTCTTGTTTTACTTATGTCTAAAATGAGGAGACTGGTGAATCATGGATTTTCCACTTGTGTTTTTGAGAATCCTTGAGCTTTCAGGCAAAGGAGGCAGTGCCACTTTACCCCTGCTGCCTCCATAATGCACCTCTTCCAGAATGCATCTATTTCCTATTTGGGGTTGTAACAGTAGATAACAGGGCAGGCTGTGGAGTTAGAGTACGTGGCTTGTACCCCAGCTCTACTACTTTCTAGCTGTGTGTCTTTGGGCAAGTGACTTAATCTTGCTGTGCCCCAGTTTCCTCACCTATAAATGGAGATGACATTGGTACCCTCTCATAGGGTCATTGATTTATAGACTGCTAACCCAGTGCCAAACGTGGTAAACACTCAATAAATGTTAGTTGCTATTGTTTATTTAAAAAAGAAAGTGTTCTGTACTTTAAACAAAATCCATAATATTAAAAACTGTAAGTATCACTAATATAATAGACATGTTGAAGTTCTCTAAGTGTGATGCTTAATAATCCTTGGTAATGCTGAATAAGGCTTAAGGATAAAGAAATGTAATTTAATGAGGCTTTCCATTTCTGGATTTTCTTTGTCCTCAACATCAGTGTTTGGGACCTAGACAGCTTCCATTTTCAATCAGTTCTGCTTTGTAAATCCACCTGGTGACTTTATCTTACTTGACAGAACCATTGTGGTTGAGATTTAGTGATTAATAAAACATCATACCACATGTTTTAAAGTTTGATATAATAAAGTGAGAGTGAAAACAAATTTGTATACCTAGAGGAAAGAAATATTTTTCACTGTGAATTTTAAGAATAATGTGAGGGAAAAATTTTTGCCCTTAAATCCAATTAAATACTTTATCTTTGCATTTTTATGCTATTAGGAGAGACTAAGCATGCTGCCACTTCTGAAGTTCAGATCTAGACAATTCTGAAATTGCATGGGGTGGTGAAAGAGCATTATACTGGGATCCAGAGACATTGTTCTCTTCCTGCCACTGACAAGCAGCGGGACATTTGACAATTCATGGAAACTCTTTGGGATTTAGTTCCTTCTCTTTGACATGGGAGTCAAACTTGATTACCTCTTAAGAGCATCTTATAGTTGTGACATTCTGTTTCAGTGATATATGGATTTCTTGTACTTTAAAAAAGACTATACAAGTGAAAAAATACAGAGAGCAACCAAGTCTGCCAGATGCTTTCCCTTATTTCTGATTTAATCTTCATCACTATCCTGTGTTATAGGTGATATCATCCCTACTCTGCAGATAATGGTAGCGACCATATTTTGAAAATGTGTGCCAGGCACTGTGCTAAGCTCTTTACAGACATTCTCTCACTCAGTCCTCCCAACAACCCTATGAGGTGGGTACTGTGATCCCCAATGTTCAGATGAGGAAACTGAGGCTTAGACAGTTAATATACCTTGATTAGAATCATTCACAGCTAGTAGGCAGAGTTGGATTTCAAATCCAAGCATGTCCCACTCCAAATTCAGTTCTCTTTAGCCACTGTGCTATACTGCCAATCTGAGAATGAAGCAGCTCAGTCACAGAGCAATGAAGTGCTATGAAGTGGCAGATTTGAACCTTTTTCTTTCTTCCCCTCCCTCTCAAAATCCTATGCACTTTGTGAATTATTACATTATGGTATATTTCAACTTGTCAGGAGTCTGTGAATGTAAAACTAGTATCAGTTTCTGATATATCAAGGGTTACCTGACTTTCAGATTAATTGCCACTGCAGATGCAGTCAGCTTCTGTAGCCTATCAGGGCAAAAAGTATTTTCCCTTTTGCTCTATGCCTTTAAGCTGCTGCCCATCTCTGCATGTGAACTGTGTAAAGGCTCCCTCCAGCAGCAATAACAGTGAGAGCTCGGTGCTGAGAGTAATAGAATCCATGCACAGTTCTCCACCTGTCATTAAGACTTCAAAATTAGGAATGCTTCCTGGTTACATAAAACTGCCTGCCTTTTCCTATGATAATGACTAGATCTTAACATACTCTGATACCAGGAGTGCAGTGAAGGAATGCCATTTTCCCAAAGTGATATAGAACCTAGAATGTGATTTTTATCTAGATGAATTGTGAGATTCTTACCTTTGTTAAGGTTTTTCAGGTTGTTTTAATATGATGCTTAAATAATCTCTAGTTTTTCAGATTGTGCTGGCATCTGAAATAACCCATTTGTTTTCTCTTTGCTATTAATAGGTATCCTTAATATTTGACTTAAAACACCAGCCTTCAGTACCAATTGGGCAGCTCTGGGTGGAATTGCTTCGATTCTATGCTTTAGAATTTAATTTGGCTGATTTAGTGATAAGTATCCGTGTCAAAGAATCAGTATCTCGTGAATCAAAGGATTGGCCCAAAAAGCGCATTGCCATTGAAGGTATCTCAATTTATTTTTAATTCTTTTTTTAAAAAGGCACCAACCTAACTCTTTATTTCAGTCTCTTTTCAGCGACTACATGTAAGGTAGGCCTTAAATGAAATAAATAGTTAGAAGCTTATGTGTGTTATAGTGGGTCATTCCAATGGACTGAACTGTTCTTTCAGTAATTAAAGCATCTCAATTACTTAACTAAAAGTATTGCTGACTGAGACCTTGTTTTCTCTGTAAGTTTGTAACAGTTAAGTTTTTTCTGAGTGATGTGTGACTACCCCTTTACTCTTTTCTGTTGTTATTTCTGGATTTTTAGATTCAGTCCTTTCATGTATTGTTACTGATGTTACATAGTTTTACAAAGGTGAGGAAATTATCTTTTCTCTTGAAAAAATGCTATTCTTCTTTGGTTTCCTCTCTATTGAGAGTAAAGGTAAAGGAGAGTTATTTTTGGAATGTCTGCAATAACATTTAGAGCTTTTTCTTAAAAACACTCTTTAGTAAAGGTTCTATTAACTGAAACCATTGTGTGAAAGACACACTCATGTGCCCTGTAGATTTCATTAAGTGGACTAGTTATCACCTTTGCAAAGTCAGGAGGTTGAAACCCCTCTAGAAATCTTAATTCTCCTCCAAGTAATTTAAAGAACCTCCTAAATGGAATTCTCTTATTTTTGCTTGATTTTTTTTTTCAAGCTTTATATTGCATAAGAGGGTTTTTTGCGTTTTGCATAAATTCTGTGTGCAGTCATGGGGATCTCACATTTTTAAACCCTCCCCTGCAGTTTCTCTGGCTCAGCTCTTCTGGCCAATTGCCTATCCCGCTGGAGTTCTAGGGGAGGAGAAAAGATTGAGAGAAGTGGTGTCTCCTTCTGGTGCCTCCCTCTCGCCCCTGAATTCAGTCCAGCCAGTTCAGTGATGGGGCTTCCCAGGGCAGAAGAGTGGAGGTAAGCTCTACAAAGCACAAGGCCTGGCTGAGAGGGGAAGCAGAGCACTCAGCAGAGCCTGGTGGGAAGATCTCACTTCCCGAAGGCATAAGAGCCGCACTGATGCCATCTTTCCTGCCTCCACAGTCACAGAACAAAATAGGGAAGGGGTACTGGTTCTGAACAGAATGGGTTCTCTTAATATAGCAGATATTTAAGAAAACATTTCTCTTTGTTCTTAAGCTGTATCTTATTAGTCCGCATCCCCATTTTTTAAAAAAAGCATACAGATACATATTAAATTTTACTGTTTATTTGTTTGCTTTTTATCTACAGCAGATTAACTTAAAACATGAAATAGAAATATATGAAGTGTGCATTTTTTTTTTTTTTTTGTTACAGATCCATACTCTGTTAAAAGAAATGTGGCAAGGACCCTAAATAGTCAACCTGTGTTTGAATATATACTTCATTGTTTAAGGACAACATATAAATATTTTGCTCTGCCACACAAAATGACAAAATCCAATGTTCCAAAGCCTCCAAGTACTGTTACGTGTATTAGCAAACATTCTAAAGAAGTAACCGAGCATGATCCAGATGTACAAGCCAAGGATGATAAATTCAAAGCCTCAGTTTTGGCTCAAGATTCTGGTTCCACGGCAAACACTGCCTGCAAGGGACAGTTGCTTACTTCTAAAGAGACTGCTGAAAGCTTTGGAAACCCACTAGTGGAGGATGTGGGAAATACACACGACAGTGTTCACTTGGAAAACTCAGACTGTCTAATGACAGAGGATAGTTGTGATGTTAAAGTACACCATCAAGACATAAGTGAAAATGAGAAGCAGAAAATTGAAAGGGAGGACATGCATCCTTCGACTGCTGGTGACCAAGGTTTAAGTAATAGCAAGCATGGAGAGCATGTCTCCTGTGGTAATGCACAAGGTAATGAGACAGACAGCACTTTGGGCATTGATGGCTTCCAAAATCCTACAGCTAAAGAGCATGATGGATTTGCTACTTTACATGGGAAAACTGATGCTGATGATAACATAGAAAGGACTAATGAACTTGAAGATGCTGTAAGCCACTTTCCCCCTTCAAGACATGGCTACACATCAGAAATCATTCACTCTGATGAAGAGGAGGAGGAGGAAGAAGATGAAGAACTCATGTTCTCTGCTACCCATAGGGAACATGACGACAACATTGCTGATGAAGATGAATTAGACAACACTTACACCAGGTCAGGGGAAGAGGATGCCCTGTCTGAGGAGGATGGTGATTTAGGCCAGTCTGCTAAGTGCAAAGACTTGGAAGAATGTGGAAAACATGTGGATGAAGCATTACTAATGGAACTTAACAAAATTAATCTTCAAGAAGGAAATGTATGTGAGGAAAACTCAACTGTGGATCAGTCTGGTTTCCTCTATGAGTTTAGTAAACTCACCTTCACCAAAGGCAAGGTAATGAATGCCACTTCTAGACACAGGAGACTATGAAACCATTTTAATGTTTGTCTTTCAATTTGTGTACTAAACAGGGCTCTCCACTGTTTGGTGGACCAGTTGGTTCACTTCCCTCCTATGGGAATTGAATAGGGCAAAGGGAATGCTGTTGCTAGTGAGAAAGCTTTCTCCTGAGAAAGGATGTCTCTGTCTCAGATAACTCAGTGCCTGCACATTGTTTTTATTCCTTTAAAAAGTGGAGAATACATTGTTTACTTTTAAAAAGGGTCAGGAGGTCTTTGTTTGCCAAGTTGATGTAAAGTCTTACTTTGCTTTGCCATCTTCCTGCAGTCTCCTACAATAGTATGCAGTTTATGCAAACGAGAGGGTCACCTAAAGAAGGACTGTCCTGAAGACTTCAAAAGAATTCAGCTGGAACCTCTGCCACCGTTAACACCCAAATTTTCATACATTTTAGATCAAGTTTGCATCCAATGCTATAGTAAGTTACTAATATTTCTTTGGATTTCTCAACTGTCATCTAATCACTAAACTGGTAGCTCCATTATGAAATAAGTCTGTGACATTCTCCATTGTATCTACAGTGCTCTGTATCTTCTATTCTATTTGGGATATTCCTTGCATAATTGTTAACAATGGAGGGATAGAGGCAGGAAAGATCTAACTGGTGATCCTTGAAATGTTTTTCTAGGTGCAGTTATTAGTGTTTCATAATGTGAAGCATTCCTTAGGTCAAGTTGGGAATAACTATCTCCAGCCCCCTCTCCTAGAGATTTATGGGGCACTCTAGCATAATAAAGACTTCTGAGAAATGTTATTGTAAAGAAAAATATTTAATTCTTAACATCCTACAATTCCAAAATCTAAGTATAGAAATCTTTCTAATTGATACTAATTAATAGCCTACATAATAGCCTTGTAAGCAACACCAGTTTTCAGAAGCATCAGTATACAGAAAAAATTCATTTAAATGGAGAGACATGCAGCTCTTTCAAGTGGAAAAGCTTGATACATCATATGCTGCATCTTGAGAGATGTCTTTGCTAGTAGACACCTATTTTTTTTTTCACATCATTGTTCATTTTTAAACAATATTTGCTTCCCATCTACCACCCTCAGGTATAATCCCCATAGAATTTCCTTCACCAGTACATCCATGCACCATCACCACAGTCCCCTGTGCTCCTCCCTCCCTCCCTCTAATCCCTCTCCCTCCTCCTCCCCTGCAGGATGTCTCTGATTTATAATTGTCTGTTTTTGTTTTGTTTTGTTGTGTTTGTATGGTTATTATTTTTTTTACACTGGTGTCTTATTTGGTTCTCCTAAGTGAAACCATCCAATATTTTTCTTTTTCCTTCTGAGTTATTTCACTGAGCATAATTCCTTCTAGCTCCATCCATATTGCTGTGAATGACATGAGTTTATCTTTTTGGATTGCTGATTAATATTCCATTGTGTATATATACCACATCTTCTTGATCCAGTCATCTGTTTCTGGGCATTTGGATTGTTTCCAGGTTTTAAATATTATAAATAGTGCTGCAATAAACATAGGGGTACAGTTATTCTTTTGAATCAATGTTTTTTTGTCCTTTGGGTAGATCCCTAGGAGTGGAATTGCTGGGTCATAAGTTAAATTAATCCCAGCTGTTTATCTTTTCCTTGGCTTTCTTTGCTTTGGAGGATAAGTCTTTAAAGATGTTAGTGAGATGTATGTCTTATAGTGTTTTACCTATATTTTCTTCTATATATTTTATGGTTTCAGGTCTTATGTCCAGTTCCTTTATCCATTTTGAGTTGATTTTTGTGCATGGTGAGAGGTAGTGGTCTAGTTTCATTCTTTTACATGTAGTGGTCCATTTTTCCCAGCACCGTTTAGTGAACAAATTGTCCATGTTCCATTGCATATTCTTTGCTCCTTTGACTATTCACCTATTCTTCGTGTTTTGGTTTGTTTGTTTGTTTGTTTGTTTGTTTTTGTACAATCCACTTTGGGATTGTGTGCTATTAAAGGAACGTACATTCTATTTTGGAAAAAACATGTACATAAGCAACAATTTTTGTATTCACACTCTGAAGACTGCCCCAGGTTTTCTGAAGCCCACTTGCCGAACACCTGTTCAAATTAGTATCCATTTCAGGAGCAGATCTTTTTAAAAAGGCATCATCTATTATACATTGCTAATGCTCTCTACCCATTAGATGCAAAATGTAAGGGTTTTTGTTTTGGGGGTTTTTTCCCTGAAGCTTACTAGGTTTTATTTTATTGAAAGTTTCATTTTTTCAGAGAATGTGAAAAGTATTTCTGAATGTTTCTATTTTAAACAGAGGAGTTTGCGCCAACGATTTTAGAAGATCAGGCTCGTGAACATATTCGACAAAACCTGGAAAGTTTCATAAGACAGGAGTTTCCAGGTAAATAATTTTGTATCTTTTTAAGAAAGGTGATATGACCTTCCTTAAGAACGAGTATCTGTGTAACCAGCATACTAACGTTGAAAATAAGGTAATCTTGCTTTGATGGTAGGGGCAAGGTTTCAGCTAAGAAGACAATGTCATTATTTCTTTTAAAAGATGCCACAAGTGAATTTCATTTAGTATTATGTCTCAAGTGAAAATTTGTGCCTCTAAAACTTGAATTTAGTTGGATGCTAGTAAGCTTACATTGTTAAATATGTAGAATGACCCACCTTTTTTCTTGTTATGTTCTCACACTTAAGAATTAAATGGTGCTGGTAGTCTTTCATGCCATGTACAGCTTGTATTTATTAACAGATTTTTGAAAAAATAAATTTTGAGAAAAAGTAAGTTATAGTAAATGGTTAATAAGAATATAATTATAGTAAAGTTAATGTAAGGTAGTTAACAGAATAGTTTTGATTGATGAGAAGGCTGTTTTTATCAGAAAATTAAATGTACAGCAGTAATTAGTTATTACTTTTCATATATTCCTAACAGGAACTAAATTAAGCTTATTTGGCTCCTCCAAAAATGGATTTGGTTTCAAGCAGAGTGACCTCGATGTTTGTATGACAATTAACGGACATGAAACTGCTGAGGTATCGTAACCACATAAAACTTCCATTTGCTGTGGCAGTGTGAATTGACACTCTTGACTGATAATACAGCTTTATATTTTCCAAATTAATCAGGGCAAACCCCATGGAGCACACTATGTGATGTAATCTCTCTGGTCCAATACATTCAGAGGTTTAAGGTGAGGGCCTCCCCTGGTGGCACAGGCAGTTGAGCGCGCCACTGTGAAGCTGTCCGCAGCCTTTGCAGCACCGGTTCGATTCCGGCCAGCTGGCGAGGGTCCCACATGGTGCGGCAGACCTCTCCTGTCATGCCCGCTGTTCCTCTCAGCAGTGTATTTTGTCAGTCTGCCTGTTCTATTCCCCGCTCTGTCTCTAGTGAATCCTCTCACCCTCCCGCGATTCTGGCCTGTACTTCAGTTCTTGTATAAATAAATAAATCTTATTTTAAAAAAAAGTTTTTTAAGGTGAATTTCGAGGAGTAGAAAGTCTCATTCTGTCAACCTGTAATACAAAGTGGATTTAAAAGTGACACGTGGGAATTCTAGAAAGCCAGGCCAGCCTTTTTAGTGTCCTACTTGCATGACCATTGGGTGACTCATGCATGAACACACCTGTTTTCTGAAAAGTTTGTTAGTAAGTAAGGCAGTATGTCACAGTAATTAGAGTGCTTCATTTAACAGTCAAGGCAAACTTGGTTTCATCATTCCCTAAACATGGTTTTTGGTTGATAATTGATAAAATGGAAGTGATAGCTCCTCTTGCCTTAGGAGATTGTTGTATACAGAAGCTATCAAGTATATCTAGAGTCAGCAGGCTTGGCAGCTCACTGCCTGTTTTCTAAATACAGTTTTATTAGAGTGCAGCCACACCCCTTCAATCATATGTTACCAGTTGCTGCTTTTACCCTGTAACTGCAGGGTTGAATAGTTACAATGAGCAGAAAAGGTTTGCTCACCCTGATGTACAAGAAGGAATTTTTATAAATAAAATCTGAGAAGCATGAATTGCATCCTCTTTTATTTTCAACAACAGTCCAAATGTTGTATATCCAAATAGTTGATGCTGCTGTTATTCAAGATCTTTGCTTTTCTTAATTTCAGGTCTTTGTCTTTTCCATATATTTCTGATTTGGGTAAATAGCCAAAAGTTATCTAGCCTGAGTATGGTGAATAATATGGATAAGCAAAATTGGGTCCTATGTATGGAATGACTTTATAGTATATTGTCAAGATTGAATTTTTACATAACTTACAAGATTGGTTTTATGGCATCTCATTCTGCTTATGGGATATGTGTAACCATCGAAGGGCTTATATTGAAATAGCTCAGCCGAAGTGCTTCTAAGTATAGTGTATTTGAAATATTATTCATATTCTATGACTTTCATTTTGTGCATTGTAGTTTTGACTAGTTCTCTGGGGAAATAATCACTTTCCACAGCTCTCAATTTAAATTATAATGAAGTTTACAATGAATGAGTAAGACCAGACATAAAAATTACCTCTTACTTATTCTGGCATATAAGGTACTTCTTTGAAACATAGCAACACACAGGGGAAAATGCAGGTATGATTATTTTTGCCTTTGTTGTGCCTCCAAAAGCGATTATTAAGTAGGGGGTATGGGGTACTTTTTTCCCTTAGGATTCTGACCCATGGTTGCCCACAAGCAAAAAAATGATTTGAAATTCATTATTTCTGCAGTTGATGGAAACTGTTTATAGTCAGTTTAGGAATCTGTCTTCCATTTTTGATTTAATAATTTGTGCCATTTTGTTGCAGGGTTTGGACTGTGTAAAAACTATTGAAGAGTTAGCAAGAGTCCTCAGAAAACATTCAGGTACTTTTATAAGTTTTTTCTGAAAAATATATTTGCCTTATATGTTAGTGTCTTACATATTCAGAATTTACTAATGCCAGTGAAACAGTATTTGGCTCATTTATAGATATTTGCAATATTGGAGTCTTTAAAAGATCTTAAGTGATTAAGTATAAGACTGAGAAACTGCAGATAATTTGCGTGCACATTTTTCTAGCTCATTTTTTATTTCAAGACAAGGCATATGCCATGTAGGCTAAAAATTTTGAAAATCATTTTTGTTTTGTTAACATTGTATAAACCAAAGTGCAGGCATTAACATTGGTATGTAGTATGGTGAAAAGCATTGTGGACTGGGGTTATGGACTTATTTACACCTGTGCTGTTCAACAAGTTGTGTATCACCAATTTAGTTATTTAATTGCCCTTAATTTCATTTCTGCCATCAATAAATTGAGAAAACTGGACTGTTAGGACTTATAACTCTAAATGTGTAGAGTTTATAAATTTTGTGTAGAAAAGAAAAACAATTACCATAATCTTTTGCTGTCACAGGCAACTATAAATGCTGTTAACAGTGGAAATCTTTTCAAATGTGGCTCAGCAAGTTCTATGCTAAGAGCTTAGAATGCAGCTTAACAAAATAGGATCTATGCCCTCCCGGAACTTAAAATCCATGGACTATCCATGGAAAAATCTTACTTAGATCTCAGTCAAGAAGGAAAAAGAAAAATATCATATGTTTTGACTTGTAGGAGGAATACAGGGGAACCAAATAAGGCATCGGGGAAAAAAAATAACAATAAAAAACACAATAAAACGAAACAAAAATAAACAGACAACTATAAACCAGCGACGTCTGCAGGGGAGGGGGAGAGAGGGATAGGGATCTGAATGAGGGAGGGAAGAGCACAGGGGACTGTGGTGATGGTGCACAGGTGAACTGGTGGTGGAAATTCTATGGGGACTACACTTGAGAAAAGAAAGCAAACTTTGTTAAAAAATGTAAAATATATATAATTAAAAATTTAAATATATATATATCAAAAAAAAAGGAATACACTTAAATTCACAGCATGAGAATGCCCCCCCACACATAAGCAACACAAACATAATACTTGTTTTTGTTTTTTTCAGGAGCTTAAAAGCAAATGCCATCTTATTTAAATAATAAACAAAATCAGAATTTTGGTGTATTCCCACTAAAAGTAAAGCTAGAGCATCAGCATTTTTAAAATGTGTATTGATATACTTTTATTTTTGGTTATTAAAATAAGTTTCATTCACTTGAGAATTCTAACCTTTTTTTAAAGATTATGCAAAGAAACTAAATTGTCAAGTTATGACTATTTTTTAGTACTAAGCTAGATTTTGATTTTTATAATGAAATGATTTTAAACTTAAAACAGCAAAGACTGTAGAAAAAACTCTGTCTTTCACTCAGATCCATCAGTTGTCAGTTTTTTACCACATTTGATCTGTCTCTTGCTTGCTCATGTCTTTTTCCTATACCATTTGAACTCAAACTGCAGATATCACATCTCTTTCCCCTAAATATATCAGTATGTACTTCCTAAGAATGAAACATGTTTAAAATAGGACACACTGGGCCTCCCCGGTGGCGCAGTGGTTGAGCACTGGGTTGCAAAGCTGCCCGCAGCCTCTGCAGCACCGGTTCGATCCCCGGCTGCTCCCCGGCCACCGGGAGAGGGTCCCACATGGCTTGCAGACCTCTCCTGCCGCGCCCGCTGCTGCTCTCTGCAGTGTACTTCGGTCCTTCTGCCTGCTCTGCTCCCTGCTCTGGCTCTGGTGAATTCTCTCATCCTCCCACACTTCTGACTGTACCCAGTGGTTGTATAAATAAATAAATAAATCTTTAAAAAAATAATAATAAAATAAAATGGGACACTTTCAGACTGGAAAGTGCTTCATACACATGGATAATAACAGCACTGTGTTGGACAGTTAGTGATAATAGCAAAAAAAATAAGTATCTAAACTCAAGGACCTGTCACATAACAATGTGAGGTTACTCTCTTTGATTTGCTTATCAAAATGAGTCAAAGATTATAATAAACATTAAATAACTTTTGAGGAGATACAGATTCTGTAGAAGAGTTGCATAGGGGAGATTCATAAAAAGACCGACTTGTTTTCTGATCTCAGATAATAACAAATACTATTTGAACAGACTAAAAGAAAAATCATTCCTTATAGTGCGAGGATATAAACATGAGAATTACTGTAGTATAATTTGGAGAATAACGAGAAGATTGACAGAGAAGCTTCAACTGGAAACTATTAGGAAATAAGATAATAAATCTATACATGCTTGAAAGTCACTGAAGTTTCTTCTGGAGGGGAGAATCCCAATAAAAGCAAATTTTAAGATTTTTAGCGGAGCAAGTATAGTCTCTTAGGGATCTCGCACAGTCTGTTAGTCTCTTTTTAGGTAACTGGTATAATCTGTTGTTTGTTGACGCTCACATCCTTAGAATCACTGAGTGCTGTGCAAGACAGAAGACCGTAACCAGGTGCCAGTGTTCCTATAAGGAGAAAGGATATGAGAGAGCCCAAAGGGAAGTTTCTTGGATGGCACCTTCTAATAGGAAATAAGGGCTTAGGTTGCTGTCAGATACTTGAAAAAAGGGATTGTTTGCAGAGAACACTAGTGTTGAGGTGTTTAAGTTTGCCGTGAAGGTATAGTCTCTGAGTTAATAGTCAGGCACGCAGTTAGAAAAAAGGACTTGTCAGTCAGGGTTGAAGGATAAAATAAACTTGAAACATTTCAAAATAAACTTTGTACATGTTAAGAAGAGGGAGAAACCAGGAACAAAAAATTCCAAAGGATCACTTGAAAGAAGTTGAGAACTATACTTTGGTTTCTGTGTGCAGAAAAGACACTGGAAAAGGAACTATTGGAATGATAAAATAAGAACCTGGATGATGCTCTGTGAATAAATCCTAGCACATAGGTCTTAGAGGTCTCATAGCAGGTGACAGTGTCAAGTTCTAAAATGGGGGAAAGAGAAGAAAAGGCTACCTCATGTAAAGGCAGCATAGCCAAGTAGCTAGTGTGGGTTCTGGAATCACACAGTGGTCTGCTATTAGATCTTGACTTCCCACTTTCTGACTCTGCAATCCCAGAAAGTGACTCAGCCACCTTATAAACACTCAGCTCCTTATTTGTAAAGTGTAAATAATAACAATAGCATTTAAAGTTAAGCAAGGCAATACATAAGTGCAGGGCCTATCATTTGCTAACTTATACTATTCCTCCCCAGCAATATTAAGCTTCCTTGCCATCTCCCACATAGACCTTCTTTGACACTTTCTCTGTCATCTGCATACTTTTCTCCTGAGTTCTAGGTCACTGTGTACTTGCTCTCCTAGATAACTGTCAACACATCTTTCAAAAGAAACTCAAACTTCATATCAGAATGAACTCCTTCCTCTACTGCCTCCATTCTGCTAGCGCCACCACTCCCTGTCCTTCCTTCTGAATCTGTTTTCTTGGTTGTTGACATTGGCTTCCTAGGAATCACTAGAATGGGTGGTGATAATTGGTCTACCTCCTTGTCCTAGAGTTGAGTAGGGGAATTTCCCAATTTTTGCCTCTCTCCCTAAGTTGAGAAGAAGTTTGGAATAAGTCACCTAGAGTTGAATCTCAGGTCCATAATTTACCAGTGGCATATTCCTAAGCAAGCTAACTTCTGGATTCCTCATCTGTTTATTCATCTGTTAGTTAACATAAAGGTGATGAAAGTGAACAGTATGAGGAAGTAATGTTTGTAAAGGACTTTAGGCACTCAGGAAACTAAACCTCTTACTGTTAAAGCCTTCCTCCCTTGTGATCCCTACATCCACTTCCCAGCCCAGCCACTTATAAATGCTCTCAGACATGTCTTGCTGCTTCTCTTCATTCCCATTCCGCCAGGATAGTTCAGGCCCAGATCATTTTTCATGATGGTTACCCTGCTTCTATTGCTGTGTTGAAATCTATCCATTGCAAGGAGCACATTGAATAGATGTGGTCAGTGATTATTCCCAGCTTACACTAGTTCATCAGCTTCTCTTTGCCCCTAAGATTAATTCTTAGGAGGATATATATGTTCTCTATTTGAACTCTTCCCAATTTCTGCTGCTTCTCCTTATTACTTATTCTTGCTCAAGTTCATTCTCTAGTCTGTGAAATTCATTGGAAGTTCTCTGAACATGCCGTCTGTTTCAGGCATCTATTCTTATTCCACGTGCTGTTTTCCCTACCTGATGAGTCCCTCAGCCACCTCTATTTATACTTCTTATCCTTTTTCAAAAGGATACATTTTCTTCCTCTTTTTGCAAATACAATTGAGAATACAATTCCCTCCTTTTTTTGAAGCTGGTTGCTTTCTTTTACTTCATAATTTTTTTGAAGTTGATTATTTTCTTTTACTGCATAACTCTTAGATCTATGATCAAGATCTATGATCTTGTTTTGAGCATTCAGATGATGGTAGGCTTTTCTCCCGAATAGATACAGTCTGTGGAGAGAGTACATAGGGACCATGGAGTTCAGACTCTGTAGTAATTTCCTCTTTTTTGGTGTTTATCAGACTGACAGCTTTCCAAGAGCAAGCACACAATCCAGTGAGTTCTCGGAGGGCAAAGTGGATTTGAAAGTAATATCTGAGAATTCTAGAAAGCCAAGACCCACCATTCCAGTGCCTTGCTTGCATTGCCAGTAGGCTGAGTCTGATGCAGAAACACACTTAAGGTTTTCTGAAAAGTTTGTTACCAGGCAGGCAGAAGGGCCTGCTGTACTTTAAATGTGAATGTGTTTAACAATCATAAACTTTGCCACGTTTGTTGACTATAGCAAAATAAGCCAAAGTTAAGTTCACATTAATTTATAGTGAAACATTAACATAAGAGCTACTCATAGCCCCTGCTCCTGTATTTACTAATACTATCTTATGTCCTAACCTAGGTCTGAGAAACATCTTGCCTATAACAACAGCAAAGGTGCCAATTGTAAAGTTTTTCCATTTGAGAAGTGGTCTGGAAGTGGACATCAGTTTGTATAACACACTGGTAAGGTTTTCTTTAGGCCTTTTCTTTAAGGAAGGCAAAGGGAGTGAATTATCTTTTTATAAAAAATTATTTATGCTTATAAGAACTGGGGTACAGGCCAGAGGTGTTGGGGGTGAGAGGGTTCACCAGAGACAGAGTGGGGAACAGAACAGGCAGACTGACTGAAATAAGGTGAGGGGAGCAGTGGGTGAAAGAGGAGAGAGCTGTTTCGCCATGTGAGTTGTTCCCTGGCCAGCCGGGGATCGAACTCGTGCTGCAAAGGCTGTGGATTGCTTTGTAGTGTGGTGCTTAACCCCTTGAGCCACCAGGGAGGCCCAGGAGTGAATATCTTATTTTATAAAATCTCAAGTTAAATGAGCCACTCCTTTCATCTTATTCATTCTTTTGATCATTATTTGTGTTTGCTTGTTACATACTTGACAGTGGTCTGACATTGGGGTATAACAGATTAGGTTAATACTAGTATTGTTAACAAAAACCCAGCCAGGTTAATATTAAACATCTAGCTGACTATATTAAATAATGCATGAATTGCACAACTTCCCTTATAGCAAGTAGACTAGCGTTCCAAAAACTTGTACAAAATGAAGGTTTTTTTTTTTTTTTTAAAAAATCTGGTTGGTTTATTGATAGAATAGATATTGCAGATGACGAGATTAATAAATCTGAATAAAACAATATTTTTAAACTAAATACATACCAAAATACTAAAAATAAAAATAATAACACAGAGATGGCTATTTATAGGTAAAATATAGTTCCTTATGCTAAGTTTAATATGATTTACAAAAGGTAACACAAAACCAATCATAGATTTAAATGTTAAACAAACAAAAAAAACCTTTTAGAATAAAGCATAAAATATTTTCTGATCTAGTAACTCGGTGAAAAATGTTTTTTTTTTTTTTGTGTGTGTGTGTTTTTCTTGATTTTTTTTTTTTATTAAATAATAAATTTTATTTTTATATTCCCCCATACAACTGCACATGCCCCATTCTGACCCCAATCCCTCCCCTCCCGGCCCCCACCCCCCAAAAAGTGTCTCTGGTTCATAGTTTTTTGTTGATTTTGATTTTCACTTTCTTATAGTTATTCTTTTTCCTGATCCCTTATTTAAGTTTTCTAGATTCCTGCTATGAGTGAGACCATCCGGTATTTTTCTTTTTCTTTTTGGCTTATTTCGCTGAGCATGATCCCTTCCAGCGCCATCCATGTTTCTGCAAATTGCATGTGTTTATCTTTTTTGAATGCTGAGTAATATTCCATGGTATATATGTACCACATCTTTTTGATCCAGTCATCTATTTTTGGGCATTTGGGCTGTTTCCAAAGCTTAGCTATTGTAAATAGTGCTGCTATAAACATAGGGGTGCAGGTGTTCTTTGGAATGGATGTTTCTGTGTCCTTTGGGTAAATACCTAGGAGTGGAGTTGCTGGATCATATGGAAGCTCTATGTTTAGTAGGTCCAGAAATCTCCACACAGCTCTCCATAGTGGTTGGACCAGTTTGCATTCCCACCAACAGTGCAGAAGAGTTCCTTTTTCTCCACAATCTCGCCAACATTTGTTGTTGCTAGTTTTTTTAATATGTGCCATTCTCACTGGTGTAAGATGGTATCTCATGGTAGTTTTGATTTGCATTTCCCTGATGACAAGTGATGTTGAACATTTTTTCATATGTCTGTTGGCCATTTGCATTTCCTCTTCAGAGAAGTTTCTTTTCAGCTCTTCTGCCCATTTTTTGACTGGAGTATTTTCTTTGTTGTTGTTGAGTTTCATCAGCTCTTTGCAGATTTTTGTGATCAGTCCTTTATCATTAGTGTTGGGTGCAAAAATGTTCTCCCAGTTGGTGGGGTTTCTCTTTGTTTTTGTTATTGTCTCTTTTGCTGTGCAGAAGCTCTTTAATTTGATGTAGTCCCATCTGTTTATCTTTGCCTTCACTATCACTGCTTTGGGTGATGTGTCTGTAAAGATGTCTTTGATATGCAAATCACGTAGTGTTTCACCTATATTTCCTTCTATGTATTTTATGGTTTCAGGTCTTATGTCTAGTTCTTTAATCCATTTTGAGTTGATTTTTGTGTATGGTGTGAGGTAGTGGTCAAGCTTCATTCTTTTGCATGTAGCGACCCAGTTTTCCCAGCACCATTCATTAAACAAACTTTCTTTGCTCCAATGCATAGTCTTTGCTCCTTTGTCAAAGATTAGTTGACCATAAATCTGTGGGTTTATTTCTGGATTTTCTATTCGATTCCATTGGTCTGTATGTCTGTTCTTGTTCCAATACCATGCAGTTTTGATGATTATGGCTTTGTAGTATAGTTTGAAGTCTGGGAGTGTGATGCCTCCATTCCCTTCTTTTTTTTTCAGGAGAGCTTTGGCTATTCGGGGTTTTTGGTGATTCCATATGAATTTCATCAATAATTGTTCTATTTCTTTGAAGAATGACATTGAAATTTTGATTGGAATAGCATTGAATCGGTATATTGCTTTTGGTAGGATGGCCATTTTAATAATGTTAATTCTTCCAATCCATGAGCAGGGGATGTCTTTCCATTTCTTTGTGTCTTCTTCTATTTCTTTTAACAGTGTTTTATAATTTTCTTTGTATAGGTCCTTTACCTCTTTTGTTAGATTTATTCCCAAATATTTGATTTTTTTTGTTTCGATAATAAAAGGGATGGTTTTTTTGATTCTTTTTCAGATTTATTGTTTGTGTATAGGAAGGCTACTGACTTTTGCGTGTTGATTTTGTATCCTGCCACTTTACTGAATTGATTGATGAGTTGAATTAGTTTTTCTGTGGAGTTTTTGGGGTTCTCTATGTATATTATCATATCATCTGCAAATGGTGATAGTTTGACTTCTTCTTTTCCTATTTGGATTCCTTGTATGTCTTTCTCTTGTCTTATTGCTCTGGCTAGGACTTCCAGTATTATATTGAAAAGCAGTGGTGAGAGTGGACATCCTTGTCTTGTTCCAGATCTTAATGGAATTGCTTTCAGCTTTTCACCATTGAGGATGATACTGGCTGTTGGCTTGTCATAGATGGCCTTTATGATGTTGAGGTATGTTCCTTGTATCCCAAGAATTTCAAGGGCTTTTATCATGAATGGGTGTTGCACTTTGTCGAAAGCTTTCTCAGCATCTATTGATATTATCATATGGTTTTTATATTTCTTTTTGTTGATGTGTTGGATAACGTTGATTGATTTTCGGATGTTAAACCATCCTTGTGTCCCTGGAATGAATCCTACTTGGTTGTGGTGAATTATCTTATGGATACATTGTTGGATTCTGATAGCTAAAATTTTATTGAGGATTTTTGCATCAGTGTTCATTAGGGAGATTGGCCTGTAGTTTTCCTTTTTTGTGTTGTCCTTATTCGGTTTTGGTATTAGTGTAATGTTGGCTTCATGGAACGTGTTTGGTATTGTCCCTTCCTTCTCAATTTTTTGGAAGAGTTTGTGAAGGATAGGCACTAATTCGTCTCTGAATCTTTGGTAGAATTCATTTGTAAATCCATCAGGTCCTGGGCTTTTGTTTTTGGGAAGGTTTTTGATTACCATTTCAATTTCGCTGCTTGTAATTGGTCTGTTTAGGTGTTCTATTTCTTCTTTATCTAGCTTTGGGTGATTGTAGAGTGGTAGGAATTTGTCCATCTCCTCTAGATTGTTGAACTTGTTTCCATATAACTGTTCATAGTAGTTACTGATTATTCTTTTGATTTCTGCTGTGTCCGTTGTGATTTCTCCTCTTTCATTTATGATCCTGTTTATTTGTGCTTTCTCCCTTTTTTCCTTTGTGAGCCTGGCTAGGGGTTTGTCTATTTTATTTATTTTTTCGAAGAACCAGCTCTTGGTTTCATTGATCTTGTGGACTGTTTTTTTAGTTTCAATTTCATTTATTTCTGCTTTGGTTTTTATTATTTCTTTTCTTCTACTGGTTTTGGGGTTTTTTGTTGTTCTTTTTCTAGATCTCTGAGCTTCGAGATTAGGTTGTTTCTTTGAGTTCTTTCTTGTTTTTTGATGTGAGCTTCTATTGCTATGTATTTTCCTCTTATTACTGCTTTTGCTGCATCCCATACATTTAGGATATTAGTGTCCTCCTTGTCATTCAATTCAAAGAATTTTTTAATTTCTTCTTTGATCTCCTCATTAGTCCAGTGGTCTTCCAGTAGTGTGGTTTTTAATCTCCATGAGGTAGGATAGTTCCTTGCCTTCTTTTTATGGTTTATTTCTAGTTTGATGCCTTCATGGTCAGAAAAAATGGTTGGTATGATTTCAATCTTGGTGTATCTGTTGATGTTTGTCTTGTGCCCCAGTATGTGATCGATCCTGGAGAATGATCCGTGTGCGCTTGAGAAAAATGTGTACTCCGTTTTTTTTGGGTTTAGTGTTCTATAGATGTCTGTTAAGCCCAAATGCTCTAGGTCCTTATTTAGAGCTTTAGTTTCTTTACTTATTTTTTGTCTTGTTGATCTATCCATTGTTGATAGTGGTGTGTTGAAGTCTCCCACTACGTATGTGTTTTCTCTGATGTCTGTTTTCAGAGAGGACAACAGTTGTCTGATATATTTTGGTGCTCCTTCGTTTGGTGAGTATATGTTAATGAGTGTTATTTCTTCTTGAAGTATTGTCCCCTTGATCATAATGTAGTGACCACTGGGGTCTCTCTTTATTTTTTTGAGTTTGAAGTCCGTTTTATCTGATATAAGTATAGCTGTTCCTGCTTTCTTTTTTGGTCCATTTGCTTGTAGGATTGTTTTCCATCCTTTAACGTTAAGCCTATTTTTATCTTTTGTAGCTAAATGTGTTTCCTGGAGACAGCAAAAGGTTGGGTTTTGTTTCTTAATCCAGGCTGCAACTCTGTGTCTTTTTATTGAAGAGTTTAGTCCATTTACATTTAGAGTTAATATTGATATGTTAGCATCTGTATTTGCCATTGTGTTTGTCTTTCCTTTGATTTTATTTATTTATTCTTTTAATAACTTTTTTTTTTTTTTGGTCTTCTTTCGTTGTTATTCATCCCTCTGAGGTTCTGGCTTTATGATTCCTTGTAGTATTTTTTGGAGTGGGGGTTTAGTCGTAATGAAATTCCGGAGTTTCTCTTTGTCTGGGAAGGTCCATATTCTTTCTTCAAAGAGGAAGGAGAGCTTTGCGGGATAGAGTATTCTTGGTTGGCATCTGTTTTCTTGGAGTCTGTTGACTATGTCCCTCCACTCTCTCCTTGCCCATAGTGTTTCTTCAGAGAAGTCTGATGTCAGCCTGATTGGTTTTCCTTTGAATGTCATCTGTCTCTTCCCTCTTGTCAGCTTCATTATTTTTTCCTTGTCCTGGACTCTTGGGAGCTTTACTATTATGTGTCTTGCTGTGTTTTTCCTTTCGTCGTGGAAGTTTGGTGTTCTTCTTGTATATCAATTTTCAGCTCCTTCTTCGCATTTGGGAAGTTCTCTTCAATTATCTCCTGGAATATTTTCTCTGTTCCTACATCTCTCTCCTTTCCTTCTGGAATTCCTATAACTCTTATATTTCCTTTCCTCATGGAGTCAGATAGTTCCCGAAGTCTTTCTTCGTTCTTTTTCCTTCGTACTTCTCTTTCCTTTTCTGTTTGGTTCTTTTTATTTCTGTGTCTTCAAGAGTACTTACTCGTTCTTCCATTTCATCTATTCTGCTTTCATTGCTTTTCCCAGAGTTCTTTAGTTCCTCCATTAATTCTTTGATCTCTTGCATTTCTTTTACTTCCCTCTTTAGGGACTCAATTTCATTCTTCTGACCATTGTTTTCCCTTTTTAGGGACTCAATTTCATTCTTCTGACCATTGTTTTCCCTCTTTAGGGACTCAATTTCCTTCTTCTGATCATTGTTTTCCTTTATGACTTCTGCCACTTTTTTAATCAGGGCAATTTTCAATTCTCTTTCTGGAAGGCTCAGAAGTTCTTCCATGTTACTGTCGTTGCAATCTGGAGGGTGGTTTTCTTTTTGTGGTGTGCTTCTTTCCTGAGGCGTTGTTAGGTTGCGTGTGGTTCTTCTACTCCCTACTGTCTGTTTTCTAATTTGTCGTATGCATTGGGACACTGTGTTGCTCGGACTGGCTGTCATCTTGGGTGAACTTCTCCGCTCCCCTCTGGCTCCTCCAGGAACCATCTCTGGCTTCTGGGGGGGCTTTCTGCTGGTTTCAGGAAGTCTTTACTGAAGAAATGTCCCTTTTCTAAACTGGCGGAGCGGGACGCAGTCCCTGTACATCCGGTCTAAGGCACACACTTTTGTGTGCCCGGTCTGCCCCGGACGTGGGTGCCTGCTCCCTCTGTGGGCTCCGACTGCTGGTTGGAAGGGGCCTGGCGTGGGGTGGGCTAACTTCCCGGCTGGCCACTGGGTCCTCCAGAAGCCTTCTGCCCTTTTCAAGAAGTCTTAAGAAATTTCCCTGCTCTATGGGGTGTTAGTGACTTTTTTTCTGGTCGCTAGGTGGCGCCAGAGATCTCTCCTATTGTCCTTGGGGGGCTGTTTTTCAACCCCCCCACCCCCGTGAGACAGGGAACAGAGAGCGAGAAAGGTAGGGTAAACCTCAACGGCTTTGGGGTGCTGTGTCTGCCTTGTGCCCCACCGTCGTGGAGAACCCACGCCCAGAATTTCGTGCCCCAGGTCTCAGTTCAAAGCCCTCAGGTCCAGGACGCGGGCTGTAGCCCAGTTCAGTGGCGCGGGGAATGGCGCCTTTTGCACCGCTCCCGTGCCTGGGCGCCTGGTTCCTGCTCACTCAGGGAGGGACTTTCACCCCAGTGAGGGCCTCCGCGCGTCTCCCCGCAAGCCTAGGTCGCAGGCGCGGGGACCTGGGCAGCCGGGATCCCGGTCCGTGTTTGCTTTTCAAGCGCGCCAAGCGCGCTGCTTTTCCGCGCCAGCTTACCGGCAGCCCGGGCTGTGTGCACGTCTCCCGGGGTCTTTGTTCGGAGCCGTTCGCTCACCGCTGCGGTGGATCCTGCAGGGTTCTCCACAGCTCCCGTTCACGGGGTGTGGTGGCTGCAATAGTTCCTTTCCACTCACAGTCCCGCTTGCTGCGTCGTTTGTTCTTGTTGGCCGTTTTGGTTTGTTGTTTCCTCCTCTCTGCCGGTCGGAGAGTGCCGCCTCTGTGGGCGGGGGAGGGGAGCAGGGTTCTGCGCTTCCCTCCCTTCTAGTCCTCTTTTATGGCAACTTTCTTCTTCAGGCAGTTTGCTGGCGTCACCCGTTTATCTTCCGTGTCCCACTTTTCACTGGGACCTGCCATTTTTCCTCCCTATTAACTTTTTTTAATGGGAGATCTTACTCGCAGCGTCTCCTCGCCGCCATGTTGCTCCGCCCCTCCAAAATGAAGGTTTTAATAGGCAGAAAGAGGGTAAGATAAGGCAGTTCAGGCCAAGGTAACCAACTCATGGGGAATGAAAATAAAATGTCCTGTCAGAGATTACTTCTTTTTTCTTTGGGAAATGGAAAAAAAAGTTACTTCATTAATGCTGACAACAAAATTTCACACCAATCAATTAAGACTGCATTCCTGGAGAACGTTGAAACTGCTGTTAAGTTAGGTATTAAGTCTTAGTTGACTTACCACAGGCACTTCCATTTTGGGACTGTGGTTTTCCTTTTAGCAGCATTCATTTAAAATGAAATCAGAGTGAGCAAGCACTTTTTTTTTCCTTCAATTTTAATTTTGGAGTGTGTATATGTGGGTTTATTTATTTATTTAAACCCATGTTCAAAACTTTAGGATTTTCATGGGACCTTTTGGCCCCTAAGAACATTTAATTTAAATAATGCCAGGACAGGATGATGGAATCTTACATATACTAAAAGGTAGCTGGTTATTTATTTTAATAGCCCTGATTTTCTGGGACTATTCAGATTAAGGGAGTCTCAATATTAACATAATGGCAGTCATGAGGGGTTAGTTGTTACTTACAATTCTTAATTACTATTTAGTACATTAATGAGGCTTATTCATTGGGAGAAAAACATAGGTTTCAATGTCTTTGTTCTAAAATGAATGTCTTTGTTCTAAAATGAATCAGAGTGTAAACTTACTCGGAATTTTCTAGTTTAAAACCTTTTTCTTTCATTGATAGCATTATTCTGTATTTTATCTTTTAACAGGCTCTGCATAATACAAGGCTCTTATCTGCTTATTCTGCCATTGACCTCAGAGTGAAATATTTGTGCTATACCATGAAAGTATTTACAAAGGTAAGTATGCTCCTGTTGTGATTTATCAGAAAATGACATTGATTTTTCAAACTTTGTTGAGAAGATAAGTCTATATATTGTAAAAAGCCATAGCCATGTCAAATGGTTCTTTTTAACTTAAAAATACCCTACTTAGCAAACAGTTAAATATTTAAACTAAATTAAATCTTGACAGTGGTCTGACATTGGGGTATAACAGATTAGGTTTAAATTAAATTAAATATTACGTAATAATCTGATCTTGCTTGTGACTGATAACTCCACTGCTCTTTTGTTGTTTTGTTTTGTTTTGTTTTTTAAGATTTATTTATTTATGCATACACGAGCTGGGGTACAGGCCAGGGGTGTGGGGGGTGAGAGGATTCACCAGAGAGAGTAGAGAGCAGAACAGGCAGATCTACTGAAATATACTACTGAGGGGAGCAGCGAGCGAGTCAGGAGATGTCTGCTGTACCGTGTGGGTAGCTCCCTGACTGGGGATCGAATTCGTGCTGCAACAGCTGTGGATAGCTTCTTAGATTGTGTCTTAACCCCTTGCACCACCAGGGAGGCCTTCTATTGGGGCTTTTTAGTTTTATTTTGTTTGATGTTCTCTTGGTTGGTCTTACTTTTTTTTTTTTTTAAGATTTATTTTATTTATTTATGCATACAAGAGCTGGGTTGTAGGCTAGAGATACAGGGGATGAGAGGATTCACCAGAGACTGAGTGGGGAGCAGAACAGATTGACTGAAATACACTGCTGAGGGGAGTAGTTGTCAAGACAGGAGAGGTCTGCTGTGCCATGTATGTTGGCTCCCTGGGCTGGGATGCTGCAGTGGCTGCTGATAGCTTCTTAGTATTGAGACTTAACCCTTTGCGCCACCAGGGAGGCCCTGGTCTTATTGGCATAGTCTGCCATTTGAAAATGTTAATAAAATTTTATGTTAATCCCCTATATAAGCACCTTGCACTAAGTGATAATAGAATAGCTGGAAACTTGTCAGAAAACATTGATGATCTTCCCTTTGTTATTTGTTTTCCTTTCCTTCAGATGTGCGATATTGGTGATGCATCTAGAGGCAGCTTATCATCATATGCATACACACTTATGGTGCTGTATTTTCTCCAACAGAGGAATCCGCCAGTCATTCCTGTCCTTCAAGAGGTACTAGTAAAAGAAACTGTATTCCTCATCTGTAAAGCTAGGTGATCTTTGAGCTGTTTTTCTTAGAAATTTTTGTATCAATGTTTTAAGTTTGTAATCCATACTAATATTTTTAAAATTAATTTCAGATATATAAAGGTGAAAAGAAACCTGAAATATTTGTTGATGGCTGGAATATTTATTTTTTCGATCAAATAAAGGAACTGGTACGTATTTTCAAAGTAACGATTTTTTTTTTTACATCCTTGACTGATAGTTAATGATACTGCTGTATAGTCTCAACAACTATATTATCACATTATATTTACCTATATTTATCATAGCAAAAAAACTAGCATATATAGATGTTTCCTTTCAAGTTGAAAACATTTTCTCTAAGCCATGTAAGTTTCAGAGAACTACTAATATGCAGGATTTCTTTAGTTTCTAATAATTCCAAATAATTCAGTAGCTTTTTTCAAATGAACAGATATTTTCTCTGCCTTCCTACAGGGTTTGGAAAACTTTCTTTGAGTTATAGAGACTTAATAACTCAGGCATCACCAATTTCTAAATTGTGTGTTCAGTTTGTTACACTAGCATGCAATCTCAAGTTTGACTTTTAAAAAAAAAAATTTATTTATTTATGCATTCAAAAAAACTGAGGTATAGGCCAGAGGTATGGCGGGGTGGAGGGGAGTGAGAGGATTCACCAGAGACAGAGTGGGGAGCAGAACAGGCAGATGTACTGAGATACACTGCTGAGGGGAGCAGTGGGCAAGACGGAAGAGGTCTGCTACACCCTGTGGGTTAGCTCCCTGGCTGGGGATCAAACTCATGCTACAGTGGCTGGTGATAGCTTGATAGCACTGTGTCTTTACCCCCTGTGCCACCAGGGAGGCCCTGAAGTTTGACATTTCAAACCCTGATCTCTCCTTATCTTTGAGTCATAGGGTTAAGATTAATAAACTCATGTAAATGTTATTTTAAAATGTAAAATGAAAATTACATAATAGTTTTATGTGTTTAAACTATGGTTAAAAGTCCAAATTTACTCCCTATGGCATAAATGATTGTTAAAATAATATTTTACTATAACACATAGTATCTTTTGTTCTCTTCTATTTCTAGCCTACCTATTGGCCAGAATATGGAAAAAACACAGAGTCTGTTGGGCAACTATGGTTGGGACTTCTTCGTTTCTACACAGAAGAATTTGATTTTAAAGAATATGTCATTAGCATCAGGAGAAAAAGTCTACTTACAACTTTCAAGAAACAGTGGACCTCAAAATATATTGTTATTGAAGGTACAAATAAAATCAAAGTGAAATTGAATTAAATATAGAGCTTGAACTATGAGGGCATTTTTCTTTATCCTTAGAGAGCTATTCCAGGGCAGCCCTAAGCCCCTGGTTGGGATGCACAGTGCCACTGTCCTGCTCTTGTCTACATCAGGCACACTTGTCTGTTTCCACCTAAAGATAAATTTAAATAATTCATGCCCTTTGTGGGATGTGATACAAATCTGAAAGACTTTGGTGATCATTACCAATATTTTACTATTGCTGGACACTTAATGGATGCTTAACAGAGATGAGCCAGCTTCAAGATAAGGAGGCCCCCCCCTTTTTTTACTAATTTTTTTTAATATTAAAAAAGGACAGGTTTATTTTTGTAAAAGATTTATTTATGCATATAAGAGCTGGAGTGTAGGCCAGAGTTGGTGGGTGGGAGGGGTGAGAGGATTCACCAGAGAAAGAGTGGGGAGCAGAACAGGTAGATTGACTGAAATACACTGCTGAGAGGGGAGCAGCGGGCAAGACCAGAGAGGTCTGCTGCGCCATGTGGGTCAGCTCCCTGGCCAGGGATCGAACTCATGCTATAGTGGCTGCCTGTATCTTCATAGTGCTGAGACTTAAGCCCTTGTACCACCAGGAGGCCCTGGGCAGGTTTATTTTAAAAAGGAGAGGGAAGTAAAGGACACTTGCACGGACACAAGCAGGCAAAGAGAGCTGCCCCTAAAAGGGAAAGGTTTGATAAGAGACTCCTACATAGGGCCTCCCTGGTGGCAGAAGCACCTATGAAGCTAGCTGCAGCCATTGCAGCATGAGTTCAGTCCCCAGCCAGCCAGGAGCTACCCACATGGCATAGCAAACCTCTCCTGACCCGCCTACTGCTCCCCTCAGCAGTGTATTTCAGTCAGACCGCCTATTCTGTTCCCTACTTTCATTGGTAAATCCTCTCACCCCCCTTAGCTCTGGCCTGTACCCCATTTCTTGTATGCATAAATAAATAAATCTTTTTTTAAAAAAAGAGAGACTCCTACGTAGTCACAGGCAGGCAGTCTTAGGAGGAGACTGCTGCTTTGCAAAGGGAGAGGCTTAGTGAGCGAAACACCTGCATAGTCAAGGCGGGCAAGAACACTATCAGGGAGGACCTTTAAAGCCTTCCTAATTGAGGGTTAGCAGAGTGCATTAAAAGTAAATTTTAACGTTATTTATTTGCAATTAATTGATGGAGGATCTTACATCTTATGTAATTATATATGAATTTTTACATTTATTTTGGCCATACTGAAACCCTTTTGCCATTGAATGCAAGGATCCAGGATCATTGATGTTTGCATTTGATTATTTGCAATTTATGGGATTTTAATTTTAAAGAGAAAGTGGAATTTAAATGTTTAAAAATGATCCAAGAAAAGACAAGTTATATTGTGATTTTATCTTATTATTTTACTTAATATATACTCATATCACCTAGATAATGAGTTGCTCAAGGTTATGCTTTTATCATTACTTTAGCCTAATGACAATTTCATAATATCCGAACATTTCATAAGAGGAAATTCAGGTCACCACAGGCTATGGAACTAGTTTTTTACCACCATTTATTACATGAGCTAATCTACTCAGCTCTCACATCTTTGACATCAGTATCTTTTTCATCATTCCTATCACTTTCTGTGTCATTTAACAAATAATATTCCAGAGCACAATGTATACGTTTATCTAAGATGTTTGGGTGTTAATAGTTAAGCTTTTTTGGGAATCCTTATAAGTATTTACTAGAAATTGAGATCCCAGTAGCCATTGCTATGCCACATGAGTAGGTGTGTGGTGTTTGTGTTTTAGCTTCCCTTATAAGTGTGTTTTATGATACCCACGATAAATTATTCTCTAAAATGATCTTTGAAAGGCTTGTTAGTTAGCAAAATATTCAGTGCTAAATCTTTTAAATTTGTTACCTCTATGTGCGTCCAAAACTGTCATTGTCAGGTAATACCAGAATATATCTTCTCAGAGCAGTATTTTATTGCAAAATGAAGCAACTCATAATGTGAAGGACTTTATATAAAGATTCAAATATAATTCAATACACTCTTTTCTGGACACTTGAGGAAAAAACTGCCTTATATTTAGGAATATATTTTACGTAACTGAACTACAGATTTAAAACTCGGTTTAAAAACAGTCATTTAATACTTTCAGTAATAAAGTATGAAGCACTTTGTCCTTGTTATACTTACTGTCTGAGTTAGGGGCATTTCCTATTTGACCCTTATTAATTTTCTTTGCTAGATCCCTTCGATTTGAATCATAATCTTGGAGCTGGATTATCAAGGAAAAGTAAGTTACTTTGTTTGCAAATATTAATGTTATCTCTCTTCCTTGTGATCTATCTAATTGAGCACTTTTTTTTTTAGTGACAAATTTTATAATGAAAGCATTTATTAATGGCAGAAGAGTATTTGGTATTCCAGTCAAAGGACTTCCAAAGGACTACTCAAAAATAGTAAGTGTTGGAAATACCCAAAAAAAAAAAATTCTGACAGCTTTTACTAAGCACCTAATTTGTACACATTCAGTAATAAAAAATACTCTGGTGAGTCTATGCAAGACATATATACAATATAAAGTAATTGCTAACACCATTTTTAGAAAATCTCTGTTTTGAGGCCAATAATCAGGAAAATACCTAGTAATGGATTTTAAGTGGGAAAACTGCTTATCATAACAGATAAAGGGGCCTTGCTGTCACTGAGAGTCAGCTCCATGCCAGCCTCTGTCAAGCAAAGTTTACACCTAAATAAGAGCCTCCTTCACTCTCCTCATGTGAAGTGCAAATTTTTTTTTTTGTCTGTATACCAACAGGAATAAATCCTTTAGATGGGAATAAGAAAGAAACAATGTTCCCTGTGTTAGAAAACCATGTGTTCTCATACAACCTTACACTCAGGTTTCTGTGGGGCTGTACTTGGTAAAAAAATAAGACGACATTGAATAATAAACATTTATTTCAGAGAGAGAAAAGGGAATTAGAAAGTAGAAGGTTTTATGTTAAGGATAAATTTATGTTTCCCCTTGTGTAAGTTTTCTTAATGAACACTTAATTTGCTCCCATTTGTTTACCATGGGATCATATATATCAAAAACATAGAATGTTTTTAGCACAGTGGATTCTTTGGATCTGCCAGTTATTTATATTTTCAAAAGACCTTCTGTTTTAACAATATTAACTTGTATTAGTAACAAAGGACTAGAGTCCAGACAATTGTCTGCTTTCCTCTGGTATTTTCCATCATAACAAATCGAAACAACGCATAGCTTCCTTTTTTCTCCCCTCTGTAATCTACAATGCAAATCATATTCTCAATTTATTAAACTAAAACATTTTCATTTTCTAGGGAAACAGAACTTTTGTAACTGACTTGGGCTCCCTCCTAAGTCCTAGGGAATCTGACTCACAGAGAGGTGTAAGGCTTTTATGTAGACATGTGCTTTTGAAAGGCTATTTTTATGGCTAAACTTTGTTCTGTGTGATGAAAAGGAATAAACAAGAAGAATTTGAGTGAAACTACTGAATTAGACCTCTTCATGGTTTTAGGCTTTAGAATTAAACAGTATAGTAATTAATTAAAAATAACATCGACATTGAGATGTAAGATCCTTGATTGATACGTCATTTCTTGTGTTTTGATATGACATTAAGAGTTCAAATATTTTGTTTATCTTCTGTTAGGAGTACTTTTTTGATCCAGATGTGCTGACTGAAGGAGAGCTGGCCCCAAATGATAGATGTTGCCGAATCTGTGGGAAAATTGGACATTTCATGAAGGATTGTCCTATGAGGAGAAAGTAAGTAAATATTCAGCAGGAGTAGTTGTGTTTTTACTTTCTTCTTCAGTTTTTAAATGACCTTCTATTTATTTTTTAAGATTTATTTATTTATGCATATAAGAGCTGGGATACAAGCCAGAGGTGCTTGTATGTGTGAGAGGATTCACCAGAGGAGGCAGAGAGGGAAACAAAACAGGCAAACTGACCGAAACACACTGCTGAGGGGAGCAGTGGGTGTGGCAGGAGAGGTCTGCTGTGCCATGTGGGTTGCTCCCTGGCTGGGGATCCGAATTCGTGCTGCAGAGGCTGCGGATAGCTTCATATGCTGTGCTTAACCCCTTGTGCCACCAGGGAGGCCCATGACCTTACATTTTAACAAAATTAATTTGTATGAAATTCAGAAGTTCTCAATAAATTTAAGATTTTTACAGTGAAAATACAGTGATTTAAAGCACTACTTCTAATTACACCTGACTAGGATTAACTTACCTTCTGTGGAAGGTCTTGCAGGCCCAGCCCACTTTCCTAATTTTGGTCATGGCATGAATCATTCCACAGTCATTTGGTCATCAGCCTCTGAAACAGGGATAGAAGGCAAAAAGGGAACTAAAACTCTTCCATTTTATATAGCAGTGAGAAGTTCAGAATCACTTCAGTAATGAAAAGTATCAGTTATCAGTTATTCTTGTAAATTTATGGGTTATACCATAGTGAAATTTAGACTTACTAATTGTTTACTATAGTATAATGCTGTTAGCTTGTACGCAATTTGTTAATTGCCATGTCTGGTCACCATGCTTTCTTCTGGTGATGTTTGAGGGAGGGCAGAAGCCATGATTTTGTTGGCTGCTTGCTTGGAACTTACCATTATTTTGGGTGGTGGTGGTGTTTTTCATTGAACAATTATTCTCATTTAAAAATAAGCTACATGACTGGATGACTGGATCAAGAAGATGTGGTACATATATACCATGGAATATTACTCAGCATTCAAAAAAGATAAACACATGCAATTTGCAGCAACATGGATGGTGCTGGAAGGGATCATGCTCAGCGAAATAAGCCAAAAAGAAAAAGAAAAATACCGGATGGTCTCACTCATAGCAGGAATCTAGAGAAAACTTAAATAAGGGACCAGGAAAATGAATAACTACAAGAAAGTGAAAATCAAAATCAACAAAAAACTATGAACCAGAGACACTTTAGGGGGGCGGGGGTGGGAGGGGAGGGATTGGGGTCAGAATGGGGAGGCTGCAATTGTATGGGGAATATAACAATAAAATTTATTAAAAAAAAAAAAAAATAAATAAAAATAAGCTACATAAGGGCGTCCCTGGTGGCGCAGGCAGTTGAACGCCGCACTGTGGGGCTGTCCACAGCCTCTGATGTTGCAGGATCGATCCCTGCTGGTTGGCAGGAATCCCACAAGGCGAGGCAGACCACTCTTGTCTCGCCCGCTGCTCCCCTCAGCATTGTATTTCTGTCATCTGCCTGTTCTGTTCCCTGCTCTCTCTAGTGAATCCTCTCACCCTCCCGCGCATCTGGCCTATACCACAACGTTTGTAAAAAATAAATTAACCTTTTTTTAAAAAAAAAAAATACGCTACTTAAAATGAGCCACCATCTAGAATTTGAGGCTCTTATTCAGTGCCTCTTTTGCTTTTCATTCAAATAACATTCCCTAACCATAGAGAGAAAGGAAAATACAGTCTCCTTATAGCCATCATTCCCTTGTGAACTGAAAATGCCACATCCCAAATTTCCAGTGCCCAGTAAAGATTGCTGATGGCCCAGAGAAGCTATTTAGCGGATCTCCACAAGGATAATTTGGGTTTTAGAATATCAATATCAAAGTAAGTATTAAACTAAAGAATTCCAGTAATTGCAAAAACTGGTTTTCCAGCACTGGTGTAATTGTGAAAATGAAGAAAAACTATGCTCTGAAGTCCTAAAGTTGTGTCTTGATAGAGAAGATGGACTTAACTTTGTTAAATGTTTGTTTCCCCTCTTTACCTTCTACTTTGGGTTATCTTCTGAACCTGAAGTTGTTAGGTTTCTATTTATGGAGTTTTCCTACCAAAGTTGTGTGTCTGCTTCTACAGAGTGAGGCGACGGCGAGATCAGGAAGATACCCTGAACCAAAGATACCCCGAGAACAAAGATAAAAGGAGCAAAGAAGACAAAGAAATGCAAAATAAGTACACAGAGAGGGAGGTATCAGCAAGAGAAGATAAGCCCATACAGTGCACCCCACAGAAAGCCAAGCCAGTGAGGGCAACTGTTGACCTCGGGAGGGAGAGAATTCTCAGACCACCAGTGGAAAAATGGAAGAGGCAGGACGACAGAGACTTAAGAGAAAAACGTTGTTTTATTTGTGGAAGAGAAGGGCACATTAAAAAAGAATGCCCACAGTTTAAAGGCTCTCCAGGTATGGACACCAATCACACCTTGATGTTTGCACTAACATCTCAAGGGAAATCTATTTTCTAGAGTTCTTTACTATTGTAGTTATATTTATTTCTTTAACAAATCAAAAAGAATTTTTTTAAAGAAAATAAAATCCCCCTTTAATCATAACCCTTTAAATGCCTTAAATACTTATTCCTGGTTTTATTTGGAGACTTATGGAAGTCATTTGGTTGAATTTTTAATATCATCATAGAAATGAAAGCCTGGTCATCCCCAGTACCAAAAAAATGTAGCTTAACTGTAGAAAACAAGTCCCACTTGAGCTTCACTACTTGATGTGTCACTTTTGAAACAACTCAATGCCCAACATGGAGGAGGCATAGCTGACATTAATCTCAGGACACCATACTGTGCACACAACAGGTGAGCCACTGGTATTTTCTGTTTAGATGCATACATACAGATGCCTTGAAAATGGACATAGTCCACAGTGGCTCTAGCTGCAGAGGAGAGATATAAAGGATCTTGTCTTTGGGTTTTATCATTTTGATACTTTTCTGTAGTGAACATTTTTCTTATGATGAAGAAAAATATATCATCCATCATTCGTTCAAAATCATCCACAAATCTTGCCCCTTTGAGTTTTTGGATCTGATCTGGCCCTTTCTGTTAAATTGTGAAGTATCTGTTGTGTACCCTTTTTAACCGACTAGTAAGTGTAAGGGAATTGTGTGTGTGTGTGTGTGTGTGTGAGAGAGAGAGAGAGAGAAAAGTTATGATTTACAGAGCAGTTGGTGCACTCATTTTTATCCTCAGGAATAAAACCCATGAAAGTAGATGAAATTTGGTAATTGTAGAAAAGAACCCCTGGGAAGTAATTTTTGATTAATGTAGTAACCCTATTCCTGTTCCCAGTTGTGTTTGTGGGCAGCGTAAAAAGTCAGTGCTGCTGACAGTTTCCTTAATGATTGTTCTTGCAAAGCCATATCTCTCTTCCATTTTATTATGACAGCAGTAGTATCTTTTTTAAGACAAAGTTTTTAGATCACCCATCACTTAATTTTTTAAAAGAGCTTTATATGGAAAGATGTGTGTTTTTAATTATTTAATTACTCATTTTAAAATAGGGCTTAAATCTTTGTTGGAGATACGGCTTTGGCTAAAATTTTCCTTTCCCTGCTTCTAAGGAACTCAGAGTCAACTCTCAAATTTGAACATTTTTGCCCTGACATTGGACATATAACAGAATAAAATGCTTTTCTTTTATGACTGTAAGAGGAAAATGAATTTTTCCTCTTACAAAAATTAAGATAGTAGCAATAGCAAACATTTATGGAGCATATACTCTGGGTCAGGCACTGTTTTAAGTAATTTATATGGATAATCTCATCTAATTTTTCACCATGATTTCATTAAATATAGTATTATTGATGCCCCCAGTTTACAGATGAGGAGACTGTAAATATTACCAATAAGATGTAGTTTTTATAAAATTGTGGAAGAACTCAAGGTCTTTATTTACTAATAGCATGAAGCACGTTATCATTGTGTTCTTGTTTGGTACAACAAAATTGTGAAAGAATGCCATTCCCCCAGCTTTGATGGATTTCTTCTTTTTAGCTAGTAGCAAGTTTTAAGTTCTCTACTAATGAATCCCCCAATATAGATCAGTGGTTCTGGTAAGATCATGGAGGTAGCAGCAAATCAAAGAGAGAAGAGGCTGTCTCAAGGAATGGTGGGGAGATGTAATTATCAGACCTAAGGAAAAGCATGCATCTAAAATCTTGGTTTCTTCAGTGCCAGTATTTATATATTAATGTACAATATGTACAATATGTATACATTAAATTAAGTAAAAGTAAAATAAGAGCAAAGGAGTAGTGTTAGAGTTCTTGATTGTCCTTCGGTAGCAGTTAAAAATAATCAGCTGCTTCTGCCTGTCAAAAAGTTAATCTGTTCCCTCTTACTTTAAATGTTTTTTTGTCTGCACAATATACTATGTGGAGTGTCATGTCAACAGAAAATATTTCTGTGGAAGTTTAAAAACTTGAAATTGAAACTGCTTTCGATTTAAAGTAGGAACAAAAAGTACTAATTTCTTTCTTAGGTATGTCTAAATCAGGTTGTGTATTTGGATCCCCATCTTCACCCTTGAGACCAACTGGCCCATTTCCTCAGGTAAACCTAGCTCAGACCTGACCAGGAAGCCCTTTGGTCATCTGTCTATTCAGCAAACACTCCTGAGTGCTGGCAGCTCTGTGCCAGGTCCTGCCGTGGTGTTGGGCAGCCTCAAGCCCTGCTGCCTTCCTTGTGACTCATCCTTCTTGACTCTTCACTCTGTCCTCCGCTCGTGACAGCTTGTGATGCACTAGTTGGCAGCTTTAAGGATCGCTGCATATGTCTTGCTTTTCATTAACTTGCCACATTCTGCCACCCACATGCTTAACTTCAGCTTTCTTTGGATATGGTTACAGTTTTAAGACTGTTTCAGATGCTATTCTTTGCAATTTTGTAAACCAGTCTATTTCATTTTTTAGGCAGTGCTTTTACATGAAGAAAAAAAGAAACAAAAAACAACCATATTTTTGAGTCCCCAGTCAGGTATGTGGGTTTTAAAAAAAGTCTCTTATCTTACTTACTGAATAATATACCACATGCCTTTTATACTTCTTTTGAATAACTGGTTTTGACAGGGATTGGACATCAGAATCACTTGGGGACCTTTTAAAAAGGTAGTTGCTGTACCCCCACCTTCATTTTCTAAATCAAAAGTTTCAGGGTTTGGCTTGGGCCATCTGGGTGATTCTTACACCATTCCTGAATAGGAATCATGGTCTTTAATTATTTATTCCTCTCCCATATTTTTTGTTTCTGTCTTGTCAGCAATGCAGACTCCTCATGCAGATCTGCCATGCACCAAAATAAGGGGGAAAAGTAAATGCTGGCCTGAGCTCCATTCTGTGTCTCAGCTATATCATTTAATCTTCCCTTCAACAATATTTATTGAGCCCTACTGTCCCCTCCCACTACTTGTAGGACACCAGCCTAAGCACTGGAGATAACAGCAGTGAACCAGCAAAAGCCCCTTTGCTCATTTATTCTACATTCTTGTCAGAAGTAGTATATGATTAATATTCTTGTGGTCATAAGTAAGACTATAAAGCAGGAAAAGGGAAAGAGAATTTGGATAGGTAGGCACCCTCTGTGATAAAATAACATTTAAGCAAAGAATCAAACGTACAAGTTAAGGGAAATTGAATTTACTGTTACAGCAGAACCTGAAACAGTTTTTGTCTTTTGGATTCCCTGGATGCAGTGAGACAGGAAGGAGAGGTCAGAGAGTAGATGGGTCTGGTCCCAAAGCCCTGTAAACAATGATCGGAAGGGTTTTTTAATCTTTAGTAAGATTGGCAGTTAATAGAGTTTTGTTGTTTTGTTTTGTTTTGTTTTGTTTTTAAGATTATTTATGCATACAAGAGCTGGGGCACAGGCCAGAGATGTGCAGGGTGAGCGGATCCACCAGAGAAAGAGTGGGCAATAGAACAGGCAGACTGACTGAAATACACTGCTGAGGGGAGCAGCGGGCAAGACAGGAGAGGCCTGCTTCACCACGTGGGCTGCTCCCTGGCGGGCAAGGGGAACGAACTCGTGCTACAGAGGCTTCGGACTGCTTCATCGTGCTGTGCTTAACCCATTGTACCACCAGGGAGGCCCAGTTAATGGAGGCTTTGAACAAAGATGTATGTGAATTCTGTTTTGAAAAGATTTAGTATGGCTGCTATGAGGAGACAAAGTAGAAATCAACCAGGAGTCTCCTGTAGTTTAGGGGAGAGATGATGATGGTCCAGGCTATTGAGGAATCACTGGAGGCAGTGAGAGCTAGTCACCTTTTTGATATTTGAAGGTAGCACTTGCATGATTTGTTGATATATTGGATGGTAAAGTGTAACAGATAATGAATCAGAGGTGACACAAAGATTTTGGACCTAAGCAAACAGAAGAATGGAAGTCAGATTTTCTTTGCTGGGGTACAAAGGGGAAGTAGGGTTCAGTTTTAAAAGTGTGTGTTTAAGACTTGCTGGATATTCTGGTAGGGATGACTGCCCAGTTGAATCTAAATGTGCTTGACATTTCAACTTAAGTCTAGCAGAGGGTAGATTTGAGTACTGCCAGTGTAAAAATAGTAAAGGTGAATCTGAGAAATAACACCTAGGAAGCAAATGCTGATAGAAAAGAAAAAGGCATCTAGAGGAGGGCAGGACTGCCACGCTAAAGACTTGGTTGTTGCAATCCAAGCAGTGCCTCATGGGAGGGATTGACAGCTGTGCATGTTGCTGCTCATAGGTCCAGTGTAGTTTAGACTTAGAATTTTTTTAAATATGTATTTATTTTTGCACAGGAACTGCGGTGTAGGCCAAAGGTGGGGGAGTGCGGGGTGAGAGGGTTCAGCAGAGAAAGAGTGGGGAGCAGAACAGGTGGATCCACTGTAATACACTGCTGAGGGGAACAGCAGGCAAGACTGGAGAGGTCTGCTGTGCCATGTGGTTAGCTCCCTGACCGGGAATTGAACTGGTTCTGCAGTGGCTGGGGATTGCTTCATAGTGCTGAGACTTAACCCGTTGCACCACCAGGGAGGCCCTCGACTGAGAATTAAGCACTGGATTTGGCCATAGAGAGGCCACTGGTGACTTTGAGATGAGCCATTTCTTTTTTATTTTATTTTATTATTATTTTTAAAGATTTATTTATACAAGCACTGGGTACAGTCAGAAGCGCGGGAGGGTGAGAGAATTCACCAGAGCCAGAGCAGGGAGCAGAGCAGGCAGAAGGACCGAAGTACACTGCTGACGGAGCAGCGGGCGGCAGGAGAGGTCTGCGCGCCATGTGGGACCCTCTTCTGGTGGCCGGGGATCAAACCGGTGTTGCAGAGGCTGCGGGCAGCTTCACAACCCAGCGCTCAACTGCTGCGCCACCAGGGAGGCCCGAGATGAGCCATTTCTTTTGTAGTAAATTTAGGGGAGAAAATTCTGCATACAGGGAGTTTTGGTGAGAAACGCTATGATAGGCTCCCTCACCTCCCTTATAGGTGCAAAGCACCAGGGCCCCCATCCCTGCCGGTATCCCAGGCCTAAGGGAAGATTAAAGGGGAAAGCACTGGTAGAGGAAGCAAGACACTCTGAGGGCCTTTTTCTGGTATGTACCTTTGAGTCCTGAAAGAGAAGGGAGAAAACTGAAGGGGGAAAGAAAATCAGTAACTTTAACGTACTAAGTCTCCTTTTCTGCCTTATTTAGTAAGAAGGAATAAAGCTATAAAACATAAGACAAACATGGGAGTTCTAACCTGCAGACACACTAACTGCTTAATCTTTAAACTGCTTAATCTCATCTTGCACAATAAAGTAGGGTTAAAGAAGGAAAATTATATGACCAAATGAAGTGGCATATGTAGTTTTCTTAACTTGAGTATATAGTTTATGGGAAAAGTTTTAAGTTTTTAAAATTTAAAACTTGTTATAACCTGACATTTACATATGTCATATAAAACACACCATATAGTCTATGCTTACCCTTTATACATTTTATCTTACTGCCTGTGAACAAAAATAATTTGCTTTTAGATCAGGGAGATGTGCAGTATGTTGGAAAAATAGTATTCCGGGGTCCTTGGTGCTGTGAAATGAGTCAGGATGTGGTCTCACCCCAGGAAAGCTAAGAATGCTCCAGATCATCAGTGTTTGCTTGTCTCTACTTTGAGTGTTATTAATGACAGAATAATAAGTGGAATTAAGTTATTTAAGTACTTACATTTCTGTCAGTACCAAGACTGGTTATCTCAAGTATTATAAATGATATAAGTAGAAATAGGCATTTAGTTTTATGATATGTGTACTTGACAGTTTTTTTTTAAGGTGGCTAGGCAAATATTTGGATCAAATCTTTTTACAGTCAAAAATTGAAAGGTATGAAAAAAATTGAAAGGTATGGGGGTTGAAGTTTGCATCCAGTCAGGTCAGCAATTCAAAGAGAGATAAAATAGAAGTCTTCAGAGAATACCAACCTTATCCATAAAAGGGAATGGTATACATAACAGCTTAGACATCAGATGCTTTATGAGAAAACCAAATGCAGCTGTTTCCTGGGAAGTTTTTGTAATTGTTCTGGGTAGAATACATGAACTTAAAAGCAGTTAACAGTTCTGGGAACAACTCCGCAGTCAAGTAGACATAAATGAGGTAAGAATGGGGCCTACTTTGAGATGACTTGATTGACAGCTAGAGCAACCTGGAAAGGTAGATGAGGAGATTGACAAGCTGAGTCTCAATTGATAAACGTTTATGGGAAAGAGTTTCCCCACCGTTCATGGGATTGTTTCCCACAGATTCTCTTTGAGAGTTTGAGGTCACTTAGTTACCACATGTAAACAAGCCAAAAGAGTGTTGTTGTTACAAACTTAATCCTTGGACAGTAATCTCCAAAACATTTTTCATGGGAAAATTCTGATCCTTGCTTATTCAAGATAGGCACTTTGCCAAGGCTTAGGTGTTAGTACCGAGTCTCCGTAGTCAGACTGCTTGGTAGAATTTCTACTCCCAGATCCTTGTTGCTGTGAAATGAGCTTTGCGATCTTGAAAAACCTAGTAATTTCCTCATCTGTTACAAGGGGGTCATAATAATACCTTACTGGTGAGGATGATGAGAAATCCATGTAAGGCACTTAGAACACCAGCACCTCCTTATAGTGAGAGTAGCGTGAAGGTTTATGGGATTAGCAACTGCTTTGATATTCCTGCAGAGTATCTACCAGCCTTGTTCCTGCTCAGGTCTTTTATATGTCTTGAAAGTAGAATTTTATTATACTTTCATGAATTTTTTTAAATACATACCTAAAGGAGGCATTACCAATTGACAATAAGTTAGGATTTTTGTAACTTAAAAGTTTCTAAATTTCTTAAAAAGCCATGAAGCTTTTTACCTCAGTCAAGGATTATTACAATAAATATGTCTGTGTCAGAAAAAAAAAGAAATATATGTAGGTGATTAAAATCTGTACTCTCTAATAAACTCTCCAGTTAAGTATAGGATAGCCATTAAGACTCTCAGATTTTTCCATGGTAAGTTTAATCCAGTTTGTCTGTGTAGGTATAAATATGAAATGTTTCTCAAGTGTACGTAGTAAATTTTCTCAAAATTTTTCCATTTCATAGTACTGAATGTCTATGACACACAGGTAGTTTCCGGAGGAGAGCCTATTGGTATGAATACCTCCTGCTCTCATAAATTAGCTGCATTAAGTTTTCCAGGTATCTTATGTCTGCAGTTGACAATACCATCTGTCTCATCAGGTGCTGAGCTGAGAAGATTAAAACCCCCAGCTCATAGTACATACCCAGCTAAGTTCTTTTTCCTCTCCTGATGCCTGCCTCTTTTCCTTTCTGTGGGGTATGTACAGTTCTAAACTCCCAAGCAAAATAGTAGATTAAAAAATTCCATGAATTTCCTTGATCCTCAGTGGTACCACCTCCCCCACATACTCACAGCTAACACAATGCCTTAGATATTCAGTAAATTTTATCGATGAGAAATGCATTCATTTTGAAGGA